TTTTTTTTTTCTAACCTCTAACTGACTAATTTCTAGTTCCAATATTCAAGATTCACAAATTCAAACTCAAAACAAATATTCTTTTAAAAAATAAGATTAATTCTTTAATTCAACATTAACTCCAATGAATCAACAAACAAAAAAATATATAAGATAAAAATGCCGAGATTTAGAAATAACCCAAAAAATTTCAAATTTAATACCCTGCCTTTAAACCAAATCAAAGTTCCAAATCCATTATATATATATATATATATATATATATATATATATATATATATATAGTTCACCCATACAGAAAAATGCATAACATTCATATGGAAAGTCAGAAAAATTAGGATTTCTACCTTCAATTGGCTGCAATGGACTAGACCAATGAACCCCTCACACGAGAGCACCAAAACTTTAAAATTTTTCAACGACTTGGAGATCATTTGGCTGGAATTGGAGGTATGGGTGCGTGTTGATGAGCTACATAAGATACAAATGGCGAGATTCAGAAATAACCCAAAAATTTTCAAATTTTATATCCTGCCTTTAAATCAAATCAAAGTTCCAAAGGCACTTATATATATATATATATATATTGCCTGCAATGGACACAAGACCAGTGAGCCCCTCATATGAGAGCACCAAAACTGTAAAAGTTTTGAACGACTTGGAGATCATTCGGTTTGAATCGGAGGTATGGGATTGTGAAGTGGACGATGTCTGATAGTTGCGTGGGAAAAGAAAGATATGAGATTGTGGAGTGGGTGATGTCAGAGCTGATAGTTGCATGAGAAAAAAAAAAAAAAGTGGAAGACGATGGAAAATTGCGCCACCTGTCTAACAAACATTTCGCTATTTTATATATGTAGGACAACCCATTTCCATTTTGTATCAATTTTCATTTCAATTTCCAAGTTCCAACCCTTTCTTTCTGCTCCGCCCGTTCGCCGCTCCACTGCCTTCACTCCGTCGATTCCATCTACTCAGTCCTGGGGCATCTCAAGCTCTGCCTCCGTTCGTGCTAGTCCAGTGGCTGTTTGTGCCTAAGATTAAGCTTGTCCCCGAGGTGCCGAACTCCACCATTGGCAAAAACTTCACTGATTCACTCCTCAAGGAAGATGAAGGCATCAATGAACGTTCTATAGTTCATAAATGCGCTAAAATCCAATCCGCCATTAATGAAGGTATATTTCTACCTACACAAGTTGCACTTGTTTTTTAAAGTGAATAATTACTTTTTATGACTTCCAAGTTGTGTAAATTGTAATAATGTCTATATTGTATTCTTCTTTTTAACATATGAAATTTGCTCTTCAATTGCTCGAAGTGGCACTGCGTTGCAACACATTGCTCTTCAATTGATTTTGCTACCAGACAGATGACTTCCAGTTCATTGTTGCCTCCGACCTATGACTGTGAATTGCTTATTCTGTCACTGGAATTTGGAAATAGTGCATATTGCCCTGTGAATTTGTTATAGTATTGCTATGAGAATAGAATTGTCCTGTGAATTGTTTTGTGGTCGTGCGAAACCCACAAGCGTATGGGATCGTTGGCAAGTAATCGATTCAGTGAGTTGAGAGTATCGTCCCACGAGAAATAAAATTTAATTGAGCGTGCTAATGTTTAATTAGATTCAAAGTAAACAATTAAAAGTGTTTTGTGATTTTTAATTAATCTAACTTAATCTATGAAAGCAAGTAAAATGCGAATTTATCAAGTATATGAGAAGAGCATATTGGACTACGAATCCTCCTATTATTATCTATTCCAATTCTTGACTACGTAACTAGTTTTCGTTCGTGCATTCTCCACAATCGATAATTTTATTGTAATTAATTTTCTTTTCCAAGACAAACTAAATCTATCCTAATCACAATCCGAATCTGTTCCTAGCCCGAATTCGAATGAATAGAACACATTCAATTTCACAATTATCTCAAAAATTGCACACGTAATAAATTTTATTCCTAAAATTTATTGCACGCATACTAATCAAATAGTATTCTAAACCTATTGTGAGCTTCCGAGTACTATAACAAGCAACTATATATTTAATTAATGATCAAACAATCAAATAATAAAATAAAGCATGCAAGATTAATCAAAAATTACAAGAATTTAACAAAACTACTTAACTTGAATTGAAAATAAATAATAACGGGTTTCATCTTCATCCAATACATGAGAAAAATTAGTGTAACGTAATGTTGGAATTAAACATAAAAAATTGGAAAGACATCACCGTGAAATTGACCAAACTTTATTAACTCCACAATTTCTTCTCGGCTACTGCACGTGTATGGACATGTATATCAACTCCAGGCAGCCTTCTTTTGTATTTTATTTCCCCACCTAGCTGGTGCCAAATTGTGTGTATTGTTTATATATAAAAATCAATTTCCCAAAGTTGGTTGCCACTTCTCTGTGCGTGTCATCTTCAATTCCAGCAGACTGTATAATTCAGCAACCGGCAATTGTGTGTGTATCTATTCAATTCTTTTCCAATAACAGGTCAGCCCTCTTTTACTTTCAATGCGTGAATTTGTGGGTGTGGAATATATATCAATTATGGCAGCTCCCAATTTGTCTATGATATTCTCTCCAATTTCTGCCGTGTGATGCGTGTATAATTCCAGCCGGCAGCAGCCTTTTTCTTTTTGCCAATTTCTCGCTGTTGCTGTGTATATATATGTTCCCCAGTTGGCTTGTGTTCCCCTCCAAGCAGCTCTCCAATTTCTCCCCTTATTGGCATGTAAAATATATATAAATCAGCCCCCAATGCCAGTATGCTATTCAATTCAGCCACTAACCTACTTTATTTCAACAGCAAGTTGGCCCTTTTATCCATTGGACCAGCCCACTTGAATTCTCATTCCAGTTTATTTAGAATTTAATTCCAATTCCACCAACTAGTTAAAAAAATCCAAGCCCAAATAAGCTTTCATCCCTTTTCAAATTGGTTTGTAGCCCAATTAGTGAGATATTTCTCATCAAGGCAACACTTTTTCCCTTTAATGAAATATAGTCCCCGATATAAATTTATTTGTGCAACCAATGTCCTCCTCAAATTCAAACTTGTGGAGTTTAATCCCAAATTATAGATTTGACTCGATTTTGGCCTTCTTCCTTTCCAATTGTTCAAATGAGTTTGTTACTAAAAACAAAATAAAATTAACCCAAGTTAAATAGAAATTAATATATTGACAACATAAAAATTTAATAATACGACTTAAATAAGTGCACAAATTGCATTTATCAAATACCCCCAAACTTAATTTTTTGTCTGTTCTCGAACAAAACTATAACTTAAATTGCAAAAAACACATAAGTATGCAAAAATATTTGGTTAGATAGTCTTGCTTTTTTACTTCAAAATTTAAGATCACGTATTAAATCTACAATCCGCTTCAAAGTCACGATACCAAACGAGTATCCATCATTCCAATACAAAATTGACATGTGTGAGTGAAAAACTAAGTTGACATTAATGAATTCACAAGTTGTTTCAATTCCCAACCTTCTATGGTCAAATATATCCTTTCATTTCTTGTAAAATTCACACACCCCTAAACTTATTTTTTTCGTTTTTTTTCCAGTGTGCGATCTAAGATTTAATTTTCATTACTATCCTCACCCTCTCCAAGTTAGGTGGACGTCACTGGTTGCAAGTCAACACATCAATGAATAAGGATTCTCAATTTATTTGATTGTTTTGACCGTCAAGACTCAATTAGGTTAATTATGCTTCATTGAAAGTTAAATTCCCTCGAACAAGTGTTGGGACTTAACAAGGCATTTAGTGCTTTTGCTTTTCTCAGGTACTTGCTTTTTCTAATTTTGAAAAGATCTTTTTTTTTTTTTTTTTTTTGGCACTTCTCCTTAAGCTTTCTAGATGATCTTTGTAGCGAGTTTTAGGTTGATAACTCCCAAGTCAAATGACTTTAGGACACCAGATTTTAAGATACCCTTACAAGCTTAATTACTGGAGTCATAAAAGATTCAAATAGAAGTTTTAAAATTTCAAAATATATGTATTGATTAGTGCAATACCCCTTATCACACACCTAATTTGATACTTTCACCCAATTTTATCCTGTTAATTTTAGACAATCCACACAAACTTTTTCATACAAGGTCCTAAATTTGGTCTAAAGATACATCATTAGTATTGTTTGGCTAAAGCATCTATGTCCAATTAAATCAATATATCAAATGCATGAATCAATTTATTTCACCACAATGTCAAACTCAATTGTAGTGCATGTATAATATCAAGTTTTGTAAGTTTAAATTTCAATCAATCTAGCATGCATCCACAGTTCATAAATCAATGCCAAATCTCAAATTTAATCGTTATTGTAAGCCAAACTGTCTAACCCACACAAGCACACAACAAAAAATAAACAAATAAATAAAATAAAAACAATAAAAGTTTTAACGATTTTTTCTTAAATAAACACACAAAAACAAATGACAAAAATTATACGAAAACTAAAAATTCAAAGTTTTTCCACCCCCCAAACTTAAACCCGACATTGCTCTCAATGTCTTAAAACATAATTAAGAATGTAATGGGACAGGAAAGAAAAGGAGGAAGGTACTCCCCGAATTTTTCTGTTGAGTGTGGAATGGACTATAGGTGACAGCTAGACAAATTTTTCATCATGCTTTTTCCTTGATTTATGATGGTTTAAGTGTTTCACGATATCATGTTCCTGCATATAGCAATCAAATCAAACATTAGAGATCACATAACCTAAAATATGTGTTACTTAACCCAAACAATCGAAATAACCAACATTAAACTTAAAGGTCTAAGTGGAAACATGACAAGATGAAGATACCCTCTAAATTTAAATATGTCTAAATCTAATGCAAACTAATAATAAAAAACAAATCTATATGCAATGCGATACAAAAAGAAAAATAAATATAGGGTTATGAAATTGGGTCGCCTTCCAATAATCGCTTAATTTATAGTCTTTAGCTAGACTTTGTTGTTTAGGCTATTTTGGATCCTCTAGTGGCAGAATCGTCTTCTCATGAGAGTAATCACCACCCCAATAAGCTTTCAACCTCTGTCCATTGACCTTGAACCTTCGCTGTTGATCTTGTGTCACAACCTCAACTGTGCCATATGGATATACAGCTACCACTGTAAATGGACCCGACCACCCTGATCTTAGCTTGCCTGGAAAAGCTTCAGGTGAGAATTGAACATAAGAACCTGTCGCTCAACCTCGAACTCTTTCCCTTTAATGTGTTTATCATGCCATCTTTTAGTTCTTTCTTTGTATAACTTTGCATTTTCATATGCACCCAGTCTAAACTTATCAAGCTCAATCAGTTGAAGAATCCTCTTTCTCCAGCTGCCTTTGTATCAAAATTTAAAATGTGAGTTGCCCAATATGCCTTGTGCTCCAATTCAATTGGTAAGTGACATGTTTTTCCAAACACCAATTGATAGGGTGACATCCTAATAGGTGTTTTGAATGCAGTGCGGTTGGCCCAAAGTGCATCATCTACCTTCTTTGACCAGTTAGTACGTGATGCATTAGCTGTAGCCTCTAGAATTTTCTTTATCTCTCATTTGGATATCTCAACTTGCCCATTAGTCTGTGGATGGTAAGGCATTGCACCCCGATGTTTGACCCCATATTTTGCCAACAAAGCTGAGAATAAGCGGTTACAATAGTGTTTCCCGCTATCACTAATAATTGCCCGCGGAGTGCCATACAGAGAAAAGATATTCTTTTTAAGGAATTGGGTTACAACTCTCCCATCTTTTGTTGGTAATGCCATAGCCTCAACCCATTTAGATACATAATCTACAGCCACTAAGATATATTGTTGACCATATGAGGAGGGAAATAGTCCCATGAAGTTAATACCCTAGACGTAAAAAATTTCTACTTCCAAAATGCTATTCAAAGGCATTTCATTTTTTCTTGAGATGTTTCCCATCCTTTGGCATTTATCATACTTCTTTACCAATTCATAAGCATCCTTAAACAGAGATGGCCAATTAAAACTTGATTGTAAGACTTTAGTTGGTGTTTTGGTTGATGCGAAGTGACCTCCATATGGGGAAGAGTGACAATGCTCCAATAATTGTTTCTATTCTTCTTTCGGCACACAACGACAAATGATTTGATTAGGTCATATTCTATACATAAAAGGATAATCCCAAAAGTAGTGTTTCAGGGCACTGAAATTTTTTTTTTCAGTTGACTTGAACACTTCGAATGAATAACAAATCTGGACAGATAATTAACATAGTCTTCATACCAAGGTGCTGACTTGATCTCAAAGAGTGTTTCATCTGGAAATACCTTTTTAATTTCTTTTGTAGGATCTTCATCTTGTTGCTCCAAACGAGATGGTCTGCTACTAAATTTTCACTTCCCTTTTTATCCCTAATTTCCAAGTCGAATTCCTATAGTAAAAGCACCCATCTGATGAGTCTTGTCTTTGCATCTTTTTTACTTAGTATATACTTGAGCGCTGAATGATCTGTATACACTATCACCTTTGACCTAATCAAGTAAGGTCTGAATTTGTCAAAGGCGAACGCTACTGCCAAATGCTCATTTTTTGTAGTCATGCAGTTCAACTGAGCTTCACTAAGAGTTTTTCTGGCATAGTGTATGGCATGTGAAATATTATTCTTTCGCTGTCCCAACACTGCTCCAATTGCGAAATCACTTGCGTTACACATTAATTCAAATGGTAAACTCCAATCAGGTGTAGCTAAGATAAGTGCTGTGACCAATTTCTCTTTCAAAGTGTTGAAGGCAACCAAACACTTTTCTAAAAAGTGAAAAGGCTCCATGAATACTTCAATGCTTCTGCCTACCATATCTGAGAAAATGGACATTATACACCTATGAAAAGTAGCTGAAGCGTTATACATTCCAAAAGGCATTTTCCTATATGCAAAGGTACCATAAGGACAAGTAAATTTGATTTTCTCTTAGTCTTCTGGTGATATAGGAATCTGATTATACCCCAAATACCCATCCAGGAAGTAATAACGAGAATGTCCAACGAGTCTATTCAATATTTGATCAATGAAAGGAAGAGGAAATTGGTCATTCCTTGTGGCATTGTTGAGTTTGCTGTAATCAATGCAGACTCTCAAACCTGTGACTCTGCACGAAGGAATTAACTCATTGTTGTCATTAGATACCACTGTAATTCCTCTCTTTTTAGGTACTACATGCACTAGATTCACCCATTGGCTGTCCGATATAGTATATATGATTCCTGCATCCAGTAATTTCAGCGCTTGCCCGCACAACCTCTTCTATCTTCGGATTTAATCTACGCTGCCGCTCTATAGATAGTGTAAAGTCCTCTTCCATCAAAATTGTGTGCATGCAAAGTGATGGGCTGATTCTTTTTATGTTATGGATGGTCCATCCTATCGCTGTTTTGTGATCTTGAAGTATCCTTATTAAATGATATTCTTCATCTTTATTAAGGGCATTTGAAATAATTACTAAAAGTGTATGTATGTCTACCATGAAGGCATATCTCAAGTGTGAAGGCAACTGCTTAAGTTCAAGAATTGGAGCTTTTTTAATGGACGGTAAAGATTTTGTAGGATCTTCACCTAGCTCCAATTGAGTCAATCTTTAAAAGGGTTGGTTTTCTTCCAATTGTCAAACGCATTCTTTTATCTTTTCTGATTCAGATGTTTCTTTTACAGAATGAACCAAACAAGCCTCAAGTAAATCTTAAGGGTGATTGAGTCGAAATGTATCTGTCACTATCATGTCCAATACATCAATCTGGCAACAAGAGTTAGGTTCATCATCAAATTTGAGCACGTTGAAGACATTGATCGTCATCTGTTCGTCATTCATTCTGAAGATCAATTGTCCTTTCTACACATATATCAAAGCTCTTCCAGTAGCCAAGAATGGACGACCTAGAATGAGAGGGACATCCTTGTCTTCTTCCATGTCTAGGATAACAAAGTCAACTAGGAATATGAATTTGTCAACCTTTACTAAAATATTTTCAATAATTTTCCTTGGATATTTGATTGAACTATCAACTAGTTGCAACGTCACTGGAGTAGGTTTCAATTTCCCCAAACCTAATTCCCTGAAAAGAGACAAAGGCATTAAATTAATGCTTACCCCTAAATCATACAATGCCTTTTTTTATGTATTTGTTACCAATATTACAAGGAATAGTAAAACTCCTTGGATCTTATAATTTTGGTGGTAACTTATGTTGGAGTACTGCGCTGCATTCTTCGTTCAACGTCTCTGTCTCATTATCCTCCGGCTTTCGCTTGTTTGACAATATGTCCTTCATAAACTTTGCATAGCTGGGCATCTAAGCAAGAGCTTCTGTGAATAGTATGTTATTGTGCAACTTTTTGAACATCTCCAAAAATTTCCCGAACTATTTATCAAGCTTGTGCTTTTGCAGTTTTTGCAGGAATGGGATTGGAGGCACGTATGCCTTGACAGGAAAGGTTACCTTAACTTGTGGATTGTCTACTAGAGCATCCCGAGTTTCTTCTGTTGTTTTATCAGACTTATCCACGTGTTCCTCGCCCATAATATGTACCTTTTTTGTAGTATCACCTGGTCTTCTCACTGATATTTCTGGCAATTGAACTCCACTTCGAGTAGTGATGGCATGTACCTATTTTTTAGAATTTGCTCGATATTGCTAGGTAGGGCCCCTTGAGTTTTGCTTGCTAATGCAATTGCTATTTGACCCATTCGAGTTTCCAAATTTTTAATTGTAGCATTTTGATTCTGAAGAATAGTTTCAGTCTTGGCCAAGTATTGTCCCAATAGATCCTCAACTGATGGCTTTCTCGATTGTTGTTGCTGCTATTGTTGGAACCCCAACAGTTTAGTTTGAAAATTTCCACTTTGACCTTGATTATTAGCCCATGAAAAATTTAGATGATTTCTCCAACTCGGATTATATGTGTTGGAGTAAGGGTTGTCTTGTTGCCTCTAAAAGTTTTGCGTATAATTAACCTTCTGAGGCCGAATTACATGTGTAGAGGCTAGACAACATCTTTTTATAATATGATCTACCTCGTACCCTTTGCAAGCCGATTTTGGCTAGTGTACCATGTTCACATTTTGAGTAAGGCTGTCCAATTTCTTTGCTAATGCTTCCATTTGGGCTACTAATGGTATAGTTATATCAACATTGTGTAATCCTGCCGTCCTCCTTGGGACTTCACTGTCTATTAGCCATATGGGTTGATTTTCTACAATTCTCTCAAAAGATCCAAGGCATTATCCAACGGAATATTTAATATCGACCCTCCCAAGGAAGCATAGGGGATGTTGTGAAATTTAGATCTCAGGTCGGAATAGAATATGCAGATCTTCGATTCTTTACGGATGTTCAGATTGGGACACTTCCTGAAGTAATCTTTGAATCTTTCCCATCCTTCTGGATAGCTCTTGAGATCCTTTTATTTGAAAGTATGGATTTCATTTTGAATATGATGGACTCGAGATGGCAGGAAAAATTTCGATGTGAACTTCAGCATCATTTCATTTCATGAAACGATGCTCCCAGGAATTAGAGAATTTAACCATTCCCGTACGCCTTCCTTTAATGTGTGAGGAAATAGGTGCAGCCAGATTTTCCTTCATAGTTGATTATATCGTAGAGCATTAAGAAGGCCTGAATGTGTTCATAAGGATTTTCAGTTGATCTCCCAAAGAACCTAATATCCTGATGATTCTAGAATAAGTTGATAATGTCAGGTCTAATATGGAAGTTGGCCTTTCCAAAAGATGGATAGATAATAGCCGGTTGAACAGGAGCTGGCATGGGATTTACATAAACCCTCACTAAAGCTTCTCTTTGATTTGCTACTACTCTTGGTTGATTTGGCTGGGATAATGGTAAAGGATTTTGAATTTGATTCGAATGTTGATTTTCTGTCATTTCTCTTGCTTGTCTCTGTTCTCTTCTTCGCTGTTTGAAAGTTCTTTCGATTTCAAGATCTATTGAAAGAAGCTTGATCTCATCAAAATTTTGCAAAAAATCTGATTTTCTAAAAATAGTAAAACGAGAGACTCAGATCGTTTAATGAATAGCCTAAAACAAATAAAGTAAAGAAAAAAATTAAAAAAAACTTTAAATGTAAAAATAACTAATAAGCTCAGATTAAATAAATTACTCCCCGATAACGGCGCCAAAAATTTATTCATGGGAAATCTACAAGCGTACCGGATCGTTGACAAGTAATAGATTTAGTGAATTGAGAGTGTCATCCCATGGGGCATAAAATTTAATTGATCCTAGTGTTTAATTAGGTTCAAAGCGAACAATTAAAAGTATTTTGTGATTTTTAATTATTCTAACTTAATCTATATATTCCAATTCTTGAGTATGTAGCTAGTTTTCCTTCATGCATTCTTGACAATAGATAACCCTATTGTAATTAATTTTTTTTTCCAAGATAAATTAAATCCATCCTAATCATGACCCGAATCTATTCATAGTCCGAATTCGAATGAATAAAACGCATTCAATTTCACAATTATCTCAAAAATTGCACGCGTGATAAATCTTATTCTTAAAATTTATTACGCGCATGTTAATCAGACAGTGTTCTAAACCTACTATGAGCTTCCGGGCACTACAAAAGCAATTATATATTTAATTGGTGATCAAACAATCAAATAATAAAATTAAGCATGCAACATTAATAAAAAATTACAAGAATTTAACTAAACTACGTCTATTGAATTAAAAATAAATAATAACGTGTTTTATTTTCATCCAATACATGAGAAAAATTAGCTTAACGTAATGTTAAAAAATTGGAAAGATATCACCGAGAAATTAACGAAACTTAATACTCCACAATTTCTTCTCGCCTACTGCACATGTATGGATATGTATATCAACTCCAGGCAGCCTTCTTTTGTATTTTATTTCCCCACCTAGCTGGTGCCAAATTGCGTGTATTGTTTATATATAAAAATCACTTTCCCAAAGTTGGTTGCCACTTCTCGTTGCGTGTAATCTTCAATTCCAGTAGACTATATAATTCAGCAACCGGCAATTGTGTGTGTATCTGTTCCATTCTTTTCCAATAACAGGTCTGCCCTCTTTTACTTTCAATGCGTGAATTTGTGGGTGTGGAGTGTGGAATATATATAAATTATGGCAGTTCTCGATTTGTATATGATATTCTCTCCAATTTCTGCGGTGTGATGTGTATATAATTCCAGCCGACAACTGCCTTTTTCTCTTTGCCAATTTCCCGCTGTTGCTGTGTATATATATGTTTCCCAGTTGGCTTGTGCTCCCCTCCAAGCAGCTCTCCAATTTCTCCCCTAATCGGTGTGTAAAATATATATAAATCAGCTCCCAATGCCGGTATGCTAATGCAATCAATTCAGCCACTAACCTGCTTTATTTCAACAGCAAGTCTTGGACCAGCCCACTTGAATTCTCATTCTAGTTTATTTAGAATTTAATTCCAATCCACCAACTAGTTGAAAAAATCCAAGCCCAAATAAGCTTTCATCCCTTTCAAATTGGTTTTGAAGCCCAATTATTGAGATATTTCTCATCAAGGCACCACTTTTCCCCTCTAATGAAATCTAGTCCCTGATATAAATTTATTTGTGCAACAATATCCCTCTCAAATTCAAACTTGTAGAATTTAATCCCAAATTATAGATTTGACTCGATTTTGCACTTCTTCCTTTCTAATTGCTTCAAACAGGTTTGTCACTAAAAACAAAATAAAATTAACCTAAGCTAAATAGAAATTAATAAATTGAAGACATAAAAGTTTAATAATACAGCTTAAATAAGTGCAAAAATTGCACTTATCACTTTGCTTTTGCTTTTCATAGTAATTGGTTATCAAATGTTTAAATCCAGATATCAAATGAAAATATACTTTGAAAGAAAAACGAATCTAGAAAGTGTTGATGGCGGGGTATTGAAAAGTATGAAAACTCATAAGGAAAAAGTGTAATATATAAACTATGTCATTTTTAGTATTTTCGTAATATTGTTTTATATTTTTATCATTATTAAATCCATGACCAAAAACTTAACATTCGGCGTCGATAAAATTGTGCCTACACTGAACTCATATCCTGGCTCCACCCCTGAAAACAACAATGGGGAAATTCATTGAATGGGGGATGTGTTGAGAAAGACGGGGTATCATATTTTTAATCCTTCATGCCCAGACTTGAAAAACTAATACTACTTTGAAATATTTCGACCAAAAATAGGGTTTATCTACTTTGCTAGGGCCAATGTAGCAAGGTTCAAATTCAGCCCTTGTTTGATTCCCATTTTTGAGATAAAACACATTATGAAATAGTAATTTTTTGAAGAATGTGGGGTTAAAAAGTGGGGAAAAGTTTTTGAAATACATATATAATTATTTTATAGTAAAATTTGTGGTTGAAAATGAATTTTGAAAAAGTTGTGCTCAACTAGGGGCTCAATCTAGTCTTGACGTAAACGAATCCACTTGTTTATATTCTAGTGAGTTTGACTGTTGTGGAAAATAAGTTCTAATTTAAGGAAAGTCGGTGAGGATAATATAAATTTACAGTTAGTGGGATGGTAGCATAATTGCTTTTTTTTTTTTTTTTTAATTGCCATAGGATAGAAAAAAATACTTAATAATGAAGAATTTTGTTGACTACTGTCGAAGGTGACAAGAAAATGGGGCTATAGCATTTTTAATCCATGCAGGCGAGCAGGCGCGAAGTCAGCACCCGACGAGGGGGCGCGGCCGCGTGTGCTGGCTCCGCCGGAGTCTTCAGTCAGTTCAGTGGTCGTCGGGTTGGCAATTGCAGATGGAGCCAGTCAGCCAGGATGAGGAGGAAGAACTCAGTTTCAATCGGAGAAGACGACCACTTTATTAATTTTTTCTTTGGGCTAATCTAACTGAAATTGGGCCTATTTAAAAAAAAAAAAATTGGCCCAAATATGGAAATTGAATCCATTAAAACGGATAGTCCACGGATCTTTGGATATATTGGTTTTAATTGACATTTTTCCCAACTCCTAAACCTGAAATTAGTCCCAAAATCGCAAACCCTTGGTCGGTTGGTCCCTTCCATTTTCATAGTTCCATTATATAGAAACCGGTTATCCACTACCCAGTTACCCTTCAATTTCCATTCAAAGCAGTAGCACCAGATGGAGTCGATGATTCGATAAACGTGCGTGTGCCGCCAATGTGCTGTGCGGCTGTGCCTGTGTGCGAAGTCTTAGAGACTTAGGGGCGAATCCCCATCTTCTCCAACCAGACCTGTGATAGACTCCGAAATTCAAGGCGAGTCCGCAAGTGGCGACTGGCGATGCTGAGCACGAGCAGGCAAGCAGCCAGCAGTCTGCATTGTAGGCTGCAACATTGGTAATTGCCTAATTGGCGAGTTAAAGTTTATTAAGTTCAATATTTAAAGTTGAAGAGTTGAATATTTGGTTAATTGAATTGTTTTGGTTGTCTGAATTCTAATTGTCTCAACTCTGTCTCTGTTGTCTGTTGAGTGTTGACTGTTTTTATTGTGTATTGACTGTTGAGAAATTGAGTG